CAATCGATCCTTCCATTCCCCGCGCTACAATCCACCGCCACTTTCTCGCGCACGATCGCGGCCGAAACCGACCGGCACCCGGGACCGTGGACATCCGCTGATATACCGGATATCGTTATAACACCGACCATCACCGGCCATCATCTGCACCATCGCCGATCACGTGGCTTGCTCGACGGCGACGCTGTACGACAATGTTCACGCCGCGCCGCTGTGCGGCTCCGGCGTGGGCCACCCTGGCTCTGTTACGCCGATGGGGACAGCTACCGGAGCGGGGAATTCCACCGGGGTGACCTGGTGGGCCATGATGAACGGATCCCTCTACGAGGACAGCCCACCACCGGTCCCGCCAACAGCCTCGAGCCTTATCTCCGTTCAACAGCAACAACAACAGCAGACCCCAACGCCCGCGTCTCACCAACAAGCGACCACACCAACCTCGCCCGGTGCACCGGCCTCCTCGGCCACGAGCGCGCCTCCGCCGCCAACGGCCAGCGCCAGCTCGACCTCGCCGAGCGCTTCCTCGGTGGCGAGCAACAGCGCGCCAGGACCTCTCCACATACCCGCCAAGAGGTTGACCGCGACACCGGCCGCTTCCTACGGAGAGGTCGGCTGCGTGGATTCCGCCGCCGCGCCCGCCGCTGGACCAGCGGGCGTCATCCGTCATTCCCACTCATCCTCGGCCGGATCCCAAGGCGGCTGGAGTTACAGCCCTCATCATCCGCAGGAATCTCACTATTCGTCAGCGGCCGATTCGTTGAACCATCATCAAACGTACGGGGGTAACAACCCCCCGACGTATTACAACCTGGCGGCCGACCCTACCTCCACTTCCGGCTCCTCCAGGGACAACCGGAAGGCGGGCACGCTCAGCTTCTGGTCGCCAGCGGCGGCGACGGCGGGCTCGGCCACGGCCGGGTCCACTTCCGATTACAAGTCGTACAACTCGGCTGGAGTCGCGACCACGAGCTCCTCGACGGGAGCAGGTTCCTCTTCCGCGGCCACGGGGGCCGCGGATCCGGCCGTCTCTTCCTGTCACCAGAGCTTCTCCCAGAGCTGGTGTAATTACGCGCCGTACACCACGGCCAGGCATCACCATCCGGTTGACACGGCCGGCCATCATCATCCGCATTCGCAGGCAGGGGTACCATATTTGACGCCGTCCGCGGCGGACGACCGGGGAAGAGTCACTGCCGCCATGGTCGCCGCAGAAGGCGCCTTCCCTCACGATGGATACGGGGGCCTCAGGAATTACGGGGCGCCCGAACCTGTCACGTCCAGCCCGTACCCACCTCCAGGTAAGCATCGACTCTCGCTTGGTTTCTTTCTATTCGCTCGATTTGAATCGAGTGGTTTCTATTTCTATCGAGATGTGTATTCTGTACGCGGAGTTTTTTTTTAGTAGATCGGTGAAAAGAGTTGCCACCTTTTTTTTAAAAATAGTCTTGGATCGATAGGAAAAATAATCAGCTTCTAATATAACGTTTTCATATCTTTTGAGATATTAAAGTAATTGCAAATACAAAATTTATTGTTTTTTATATATTTAATTTTGAAAAAATAATATGCTATTGTAAGATTTAATTAAGGCGGTAATCCTGAGCGGGACGGTTTTAACGAATTTTTTTTTTTTGTACGTGCAAGGTCATCGCATTGTACGTGCTCCGGCGAATTCGCAAGGAAACGAAACGTCGCTGAAAGTCACGAGATCGTGATATGAATTTCTTCTAGCTTGACCTTGAAACGAGTTAGGTAGGAGAGAGAACGAAGAAAGAGAGAATGCGCGATAAAAAATCAAAAATTGCGAAGATCCTGACCTGTCACACCACGATCCAGTCATCGTTCATTCACGTTCTATTTGGTCATTCTCTTTCGCCTCCCCACCCAAAGTCCTTTTCTCGGGACCCTGGAACCCATGAAACGTCGCATGAGCAACAACGAACCACGGCAGGTTTATTGGCGGCCGTAACTCGTAAACTCTGGCGTGCGCCTCCGATCAGCTGATCCGTTCCATGACCCGTGCAGCCGTTCATTCTTCTCCTACTAACGGCCGTTCCCTCGCTTTCCTTCTCGCAAACGCTGTCCCCGTCACTCCATCCCTCTCTCCGTTTCTCTCGTCCCGGGCTTCGACTCGTTTCAATACATTTTTACCCATCTAGTCGGCCCCTGGTTCGGTTACTTACATAACCAGTTCGAATTCTGTTCACTGCTAACAGACACAAGCAAACGTTCACCTGACTTCATGGTTTAGACTTTTCATCGTCAAAACATCTCTAATAGAATAGGTTAGCTAAGCTTACCGCGACGAATTTTCGATCAGAAACCATAGAGTTTGAAAAAGAGAAGCACGCATTTGGAATCATAAAAAATAGGAAAATACGAGATACGGTGGCTGCTCGGACACGCTCGACCCGATAAACGAGATAAAGTTGCGTGATTCTCTTAGCCCCGGAATTAATCGTATACATTCGTGGTAGGGAGGTGCACGCGCAGGCGTGCATTCTATACAAAGTAACCGAATACGAGCGCCACGTATAGTTTAACCGTCCCCCAATAGATGGCAGCTCCATTATCTTTGTTCGTCCGTCTGGTGTTCCGAAACCACGCTGTTCATACGGTATCGCGTCCGAATACTTCTCCGGCCAAACGTTTATTTATATGATTTTTGACGACAAGTTACAATATCGAATACAGCTGCCGCCGTTCACGATTCATCGTTTGCGAGCAGATAGGCATCTTCCAGGATGAAAAATATCGAAACGAGGACCGGTTACAGAGAAACGTTGGATACCCGTCATTTAAAAGCCAGTTTGCTACTTTAAACGAGGTCCAACGTTTCGTGTTTTTAATTTATCGCGCGCTTCCTGCGTTTCTTGGCGGCCTCTAATTAGCGTCACTTCAGATTATTGAGTAACCATATGATCGTTAACCTTAAATTATTCTTATTATTTTGTTTTTCCAGTTTTTATCGTTAATTTTAAATTTTAAATTCGTTTTCGGAAACGAACTTTTATTAAATTAATATTTAAATGACCAGAAAGAAAGATGATCAATACTGATAGATCGTTAATAATGGTTGTCAAGAGTCTGTTATAACACGCTCGTTGCTGGCAACACGCCGACCACAAATCGATACATACGTCATTTATTCCGCAGTTTCGTGGCACACGTCCCTTGTATGTATTGACATTCGTGAGAATTCTGACCTTTGTCAAATAATTTGCATACTCTAGCGTTTTAGTGGGCAATAAATTTCTGCCGCTTAAGCAATCGTGCCACGTTATTTTACGAAACGAGACGAGACGAATGTTGCAGAAGGGCAACAGTAATAGGGGTGTGGGTAAGATAAAAGTAAAGGCGAGAGATATGGAAGAAGGGAAGACTAGAGAGTGGATATTACGTGATTTTTATTTTTATGATCCATTTACGGTTTAATCAAATGTTTAGTAAGATAAATCTACATGATCGGGAAAAAAAAAAATAAAAAATTTTTCAAAAAACAATAATAAAGAAAATTTTAAAACTGTCTAGCATTTTATTTGAAAATTTTAGATTAAATCGTATTATTTCTTTATAAAATTCGTATGAAATTTTTTTAACTTTATTTAAAATATTATATAAATTTAAATATTTCAATGAATGTTAGATAAAAAAAATTTTAAGAATGAATCTTTTTGATAAAATTCTTCTTTGAAAAAACCAAGATGTTCACTAAGAAATAATAATTTTGAGGATCATCATTATCAGCATACGTAACACGTTGCATATATAACAATGTCCATGAGGTTTAATATGGGGAATAGCAGGTGGGAGAAGGCAATTTCGTTGCGCTTACGAGCGTTTAACGTTGCCAGGCTCACGAAGCTGTTGCGTTTCGTGGCTATGCAACAATTCCTCGCCATCGTTGTCCGTACTTAGGTTAAAGATAGACGGGCAAGTGCCGACTGCTTTCGTAATCCCTTCGTTTCGCACGCTACGTGCGATCTCTTTCAAAAAGACGATATTTATATCTTGTTTTTAACAGAAGAGAGAACTAGAAAAATGAATAAATATCGATGTTATTTTAACAGAAAAATTTCTACATTTTTATTAAAGGTAAAAAGCAAAAATTAAAAATCAACTTGAGCGAATAATTCTCAAATAGTTTTAATATTAATATTAGAAATCAAATTATAATTTATAAAATATATTTTATAAAAATATTTTTGACAAATTAATATTATAAGATAACAATAATAAATATATATATAATTACAAATACCATCTATTAAATTTTCATATATATCATTTTTAATTCATTTATATCTAAAATATTAATTCTAATCTGATTGAATATTAATTATAATTTTAATTAAAAAAATTTTAATATTGGCTGCTTTTTCTACCTTAAATTAAAATAGAGTTTTCTCGTCTTTTTTTTTATTCAACAAATTATTAAAAATTTATAATTCGTTAAGCTAATCTCTTGAAATCATAGAAGAGAAAAATTCTAGAGCAAAAAACCGAGCCAGGGATCATGGGATTCTCGAATCATTAGTTACAAACACGGAATGTACTAACAGTTCCGTGTTTCGCATTCTCGGTTCATGTTTTCTCTACGGTTAGTACACTCGGTCCAATTATATCATATCGGCTGGTCGTCGCGACGCAACGTGACGAACCCTTCGCTACATGCGTCACGCGCGCGCATATACACACACGTAATCTTCAACATTAAGAACTCGCTTTGAGTATAAATTTCTCGATCTCGTGACCTCGCGCTCTTTTTTTCTGAAAAAATTCTAATAAATTCTGTAAAGAAACACAATCTCTCAGTAAGTTTTTTTTTCATTCTTAGAAAAATTGTCGATATCATTTTTTTAAAAATGAAATTATGATTTGTATTGATTTTCGTTGTAGTAGAAATATTTTATTCCTAAAAAAAAAAAAAATTATTGAATAATTATAAGATTTAGATATTTTTTAAACAAGAAATTCGATTTCTTCTTTTTCCTTTATTTTTCTAAAAACTAAATTTGAATTTTTATTTCTAATAGAATATATTATTCTTGAAAAAACTTCACTGAATGTTTAAAGAAAATAGATTAGTTCCTATATATTGATCCCAGACTAACAGTATAAATTCAAGATATTAAAATTTGTAGTTTGCATAAATATAAATTTCTAATGTAAAACATTATATATAATATTATCTGTTTTTCCTTTCGACTGGAGTGCATTCATATAAAAAAAAATTTTAAAACTGGTTTAATTAACTGTTTAATTTTGATTACAATTATAAACTTTAATGAATTCTTTATTTATAATATGTTCAATCGAGGGTGTTACGCTTATCGATTCAAATGGGTTTCTTTCAAAGAAAAAAAAAAATTTCCTAAGGATAAATCTGAAGACAATGTATTGATCGATCTGTTTCAATTGATCTGTAACACGTAACGAATGTAAATAGAAATTTCATTTGGGACAAAACCTAACGGTACTAGTTACGCACCGATACATCAACTAATGAACCGATGTATTTGCTCTCGATTCTGTTGACTTGTACAAATCTAATAATTCCGTAAGTCGCGAGAAAAGAAACAGGTTTGGTTAGTTTCCTCGTTCGAATCTGTTCGATCACATAATCGCAAGTATCGTACCTGTTTCCATGTTTTCTACATTTATTTCTATACAAATAATTTAATTTTAAAAATATAATATCGTGTATAGAATATTATACAATCATTTATTAATTTTTAATCGGTATTGTGGCAATTTCTAAATAAAACATTTTATAATTTTATTTAAATTCGAATTACCGATAAAAAATCATGATCGATCTATTTCTTCGTAGTATAACCTATAATATTGTCGATAAGCGTAATCTCACCGTTGATGCAAAATTTAATCATAAGATGTATTTCTAGTTAGCACACTAGGTTGTTTGTTACCGGCAAACTAATTGTGTTAAGTGATGTGGGGTTCCTCCCCATCTTCGTTGTTTCCCGCAGGTTCCCTGGCGGGAGTTGGCGTAGGTGTCGGGGTAGCTGGTATGGGCGTCGGTTGCGGGAGCTCGAACCCATTGGAATGGACCGGCCAAGTGACGGTACGGAAGAAACGCAAACCGTATTCCAAATTCCAGACGCTCGAACTAGAAAAGGAATTTCTGTTCAACGCTTACGTGTCGAAGCAGAAACGGTGGGAGCTCGCGCGAAATCTGAATCTGACTGAGCGACAGGTGAAGATATGGTTTCAAAATCGACGGATGAAGAATAAAAAAAATAGTCAACGGCAGCAGCAGAACAATAACAATAACAACAGCAGCGCCAATAATGCAAATCACCACGCGGCGACCGGTAGTCACCACCATCCGAGCGCCGCGCATGCGCCACCCTCGAGTCATCACGTGGTCGCGCAGGCGCACCACGCAAATGGTTCCGCGAAGCATCATCAGTGACCCGTGGCCTTCTCTGGGGTCGTCTTCGGCCATCCACACTCTAATCACAGCTCTACAAACGGTTGCACAGGAACTGGGACCGGGACTGGGACAGGGACAGGGACTGGGAACGCCGCTACCCATTCCAACAGCCACGCGAGCCTGGTTACAGGTCACAGCCACACGCTTCACGCGCCTCAACCTCAAACGCCTCTACCGACCCACGCCGCCGGTGCCTCAAGCACCGTCACGCCCCCCACCGCCGTCGTTCATCCACACATTCACGCACACGCTCATCATCATCAGTTGGCGCACGTGGCTCAGCAGTATCCTGCGCTTCTTCATCAGACGCCTCATGGCCTGGCTGCCTGAAACACCTTTCAGGTTTTTTGACACCCCAGAGAAATCGAAGGAGTCGACGAATCGTCCTTACGGTCGATTCGCAATGCAGCAACTTCTCATCAGTCCTCGTAGTCGTCGTCATCGTCATTTGAATAATCGGCATCCACAACAGAACGTCGGATAGATAGACACGTAATCCACATACACATTCACACACACACACACACACACATACATACACATACATACTTATCGAACTTTGTTCAGCAGCTATTCAAAGACTGCCTATCACTTGTAAGGAGAGATAATGTTTCCGCGAGTAGTATATTATTATTATTATTATTATTATTATTATTATTAATATTATTATTATTATTACTATTATTAATATTATTATTATTATTAATATTATTATTATTACTATTATTACTATTATTACTATTATTATTATTATTATTATTATTATTATTATTATTATTATTATTATTATTATTATTATTTTATTATTAACATTATTATTATTATTGCCGGTCATCGTCATCCCTATCGTCACCCATGGTTAATATTCAACGGAAGGTAATACTGTTGTATAGAATGTGCGTGACTTATTGCGGCGTCCTTGGAACGTCAATCAACCAGACTCTTCTTTTCCCGCGTGTCGGTATATCAGGTGTCGGTCTTCTTCGAGTAGTGCGCATATCGTATGCGGCACCAAACAATCTGTCCAATTCGTAATTCGGTAGTAATTTCCTCCAATTATATATATATATATATTATATATATAGTGAAGCAAATTAGTGTCACTTAGTGTCTGTCCTAAACAGCCCCTTCCCCTTTACCTTTATTCCAATCTGGACGAACGATTTCTGTCCTCGTTACTCTCTTTCCTTTTCAATACCGGTCTATATCACTTGCTCGACCGTAAGTTTTGCTTTGTCTTGCACTGTTCAGCTCAATCAGAATCAGAAGAGAATTTAACGAAAACATCTTGAACCTTTGGCGTTTACGCGGAAGTCCAGTCGAAGAAAACGACGACATTGGTTTCCATTGTGTTACGATATTCGTCCGGATCGGCCGAAGAGAACCGCTTCTTAGGGGTAAGCGTATCGGGACGAAAAAAAGCGCGCGATTTTTAAAATTACGATCGATGTTGTTCGCGCGAATTCTGTTCTATTTGTTCGATGTTTGTTGAGAGATTGTAAAAGTTTTTTTTTTTTTTTTTTTTTTGTTAAATTTTACGTTTATTTGTTTGACAAACGTGAAACGTTGATCGCTACTGTCTGTGATTTCGCGGAAAGTACTAATATTTGCATATAAAAAACGTATATTAGTTTTTTTTTTTTGTCGCGAGACGAGTCTGATCACGACGAATTGGTCTGTTTTCTGTAGGATCCAATCGATTTTTATTTTGAATTCCAGCTGAACAGTGAGACGTAGACCGATTTTCGATTTTGTACTATCCAACGTGCGCAAGTTCGCTGACGAGTTGTAGCAGGATGAAATGGTTTAGATCTTTGTAGATAATCTTCTATACTCATTATAATTCGACGTTTCATCCTGCGGGAGGTCGTCAGTCGAGAAATCGTTAATAACGAAAGCAGAGAAGATCAAAGTGAGAAATTAGGACTGGGTTCTTTTTAATTATCTTCGACGAAACGATTTGCGACAAATAACAGAGTGGACAGAGATTTGCTCATTTTCGCAAAGTGTTTTCGTCGAGGACACACATCTGAGACGAACCTGGTCCGAAGCAACGATGCGTTCGGAGAATTAGTCTAATTATGTCCAGAGTGTTGTATTCATCGCCTACCAAGGATCGCAAACTAGTACCTATAATTCTTATATTATATGTAAAAAAAAAAAAAATCGATTTAGATTTTAAAAGCATACCTAGTGGACTGTCGAGTGGAGTGTCACTCTGAGACTGAGGTTAGGATCTCAGTCGTGGAATGAACGATATTGTGAATCGAATTCTCATCGTTTCAATTTCAATTTTTCAACGACGAGAAAAAAAAGCAATTCAGTTGTTATTTATTTGTTAAGTGTGAAATTATTTGTTTTGTTTGGAAAAAATTTCAAATATATATGATGAATTGATCCAGAATTTAAATTCGATCACTTTCGATCGTTTGAAATAGCATTCGTCTTTGGATCTGGTTATGATAAAATTGTTGACAAATTGAAAAAAATTCGAAATTCGTTCGCGAGACCGGAAAAAAATTTATATAATAAAATGATGGTTAGTGTCTCTTTTCAGATTCGAGGATGAACGTTATCCCTGCGAACGAGATCCTAAGTGCGGTCATAACCTATAAGAAACGAATAAGGGTTCATCTTTTAATCGGTACGTCAGCGAGTAAGTAGGTAATTTAATCGGATGTTAAATGAAAATAAATATCCCGGATCTCTATTCTCTAAGATGCAACATTATCTAAATTATAAGGGCCGCTGAATGAGTGTGCATGCCTAAGGTATATTATATAAACATACACGCGTATTTCTTGAATGTGTGTGAGTGCGCGCTCATGCGTTACATCTATATACACGTGCAATATTGGTTAAAAATTTGAAATCACTAATTTATATCTATGAACTTAAAATAATTAAAAAAAAAAAAAAATAATGGATAGATTAAAATATTCTTTTGTCAAAAATCAATTGATAAATTAAATAAAATTCAAATATTTGAAGAATAGGTTGGAAATTCTTTTGTTAGGAATTTGTTAGTAGATCAAGTGAAATCATTATCGATATTCGTAACGTTGATTTCGAGTTAAGAGGAAAATTATATAATTGAATTGAAATGTGATTCCAAATTTTTGGTCGATAATATATGTGAAGTATTCGAAAAGATGTAAGTGTCATCGGAAGAAAGATCAATAAAGAGAAAGTAGTATAGGATTGGAATTTCTTAAAAGCGTAGACGCGCATGCGCGCGTGTTTGTGCACGCATTAAAGAGGAAGGGAGTGCACGCGATGCGTGAGTGTGAGTGTGAGAGAGACAGGGAGCGAGCGCGAGAAAGAGTGAAAGAGAACGAAAAGAATTATCTGAAACGACGTTATACATAACGATAAATAGAAACTTGACGTGAAGCGAGAGGAAGTAACGAAACAGCAAGATATGTATTGTAATAATTAGAGTAACTTTTAAAATGGAGATAGTGAGAGAGAAACGTAAGTATAAACATTCACAAATATTTGTCTTAAGTACGAAAAAACACAAAATGAATTATAATTTCGAATTGGTAGCAACTCGTTTCGTTGATCATCATGTTTCTTTTGAAAACTTAATTTAAAGATTAGATAAAGAATTAGATAAATTTAAATATAGTTGAAATTATTTTTTCGTTTTTTTTTTTTTTTTTTTTTTTATATTAAAAGCATAAATGTGTAATTCGACAAATTAGTGGAATTTTTTCAGAAGAATTTATTTCAAAATGTAATAAGACAATTACAATAGTGTTTGTTTTAGTGTCCAGACTTTTCTCGCTTTAGCATCCATCGTTATCTTCAACAATTCTTGGAAGCGAGGTTCGAGCATGCTTAACGAGGTAACTTTATCTGACTCAGACTCATTTCTTTCGCTTGGTTGAATTCGCACAAGTTAGCTCCTCCGGTTGAACGTATGGACTGTGGACATTAAAGCGACCACTGCAGTACTAACCTCAAAATTTTTGCGATTTATCTACTTTCGAGTCCAATTTCACTATAAAATAATCGTAATATAAATTCAAGGATAAAAATTTGCACATTACGATTTGATGAAAAAATAAAAATTTGACAAAATATCTATCACATAATTACTGCATTGTGTTTTATTTTTTTTTTATGATTCAAATGTGTCGACGAAACGAGTTGTTAATGATGTCGAATGTAACTCGAATTAACACACTGTGAGATTGGGTCTCGGAATAAACAATATAATAGATTCCGCCTACTATTAAATACGATTAATTATGTAACGACGATAAAATATCGAATACACAAGTAAAATAAGTAAGATTGAAACTGGAGACAGGAGAAACGAAACTGAACAGAGGTATCGAGAAAGGAAAAGGGGATACAGGGAGATTCTGTAAAGTCAAAATCAGTACACCATTCGGATTCTCACATGGATTCTTATCGATAATAGCGATTAATTGCTAATTGTCTTGCCGCTGACGATCTTCAATGCGAATATTACGATGATTATTATTATATCATGATTAATTATATTATATTATTATATTAATTATTATTATTATTAATAATTATTAATTATTATTATTATTATTATTATTATTATTATTATTATTATTATTATTGTGAGCGACACGTTAATATTATGTTATTGTTTTTATTGTGTGTTGTTTTGTATGTACCTATCAGCCTATTACGATCATGATATTATTATTATTATTAATTATTATTATTATTATTATTATTATTATTATTATTATTATTATTATTATTATTATTAATTATTATTATTATTATTAATTATTATTAATTATTAATTATTAATTATTATTATTATTACGAAATGGTAACGAAACGATGGACCTACAATTGCGTATTTATATTACAGAAAGAACATTGCACGACAAGTATACAGAGGAACACGGGATTGACTATTAATTTACAGCAGAATCGAATTAAGAATTTTACTTCAAGTTCGTAAATTATTTCGAAAATGTAGAATTATATTATCGATCGATTTCTCAATTTTTAGGAATATTCTCCATTATTGCTTATGTTATATTTTTCGTTATTTTTTCCTTTTTTTTTTTGAAAATTTTTCTTTTTTGACTCAAATTCGCCACGGAAAGGCTTTACATTTGAATTTTGAT